GAGATCCATAATCCAAGTTAGTATACCATCTCCTCCTCCAAGCTAGCTAATCGTGTAATTAGCAACTAAAACTGTAAGAGCCAATAGAAACCATACTCAAGAGAATCATATGCATAGTTACTAAATTCTTCTGCAACTCATTTATAAACTAAGGAGTAGATGATCTCCAAGTTACCTTTGAACTCTTAGTCTAAGATTCTATAATTACTAATATTGAGCTCAACACAAAGTTTCTCATTTCTTCCTACTTATTCTGGTTCAAAATGACCAGGTACAAGTTGCATTTTGTTATTAAAGTGCTTTAGAAAGAAGGAGGAGGCTTAGAAACCAAAGTAGACCCTGGGAGAATACGACAGCAGAAAAGCCCCACTGGCACCTCTTTCTAAAGTTCACCTGCTATTGTTAAGTGCCTTCGAGTCGGTTCTGACTCACAGCAACCCTGTACAGGGTTTTCCAGACCATAAATCTTTGCAGGAACTGAAAGTCTCAGCTTTCACCAGTGGAGCAGCTAGTGGGCTCAAACTACTAACCCTGTGGTTCGCGTTCTAATGTCTAGCCTACAGTGCCACGGTGCTACCTTGCAAGTTCATTTGATATTGTTGCTAAGTGCTGTTGAAAAGGTTCCAACTCATACTGACCCTGTAACAGGGTTTCCAAGGAGCAGGACTGCTGGGTTTGAACCACCAAACATGTGGCTATCAGTTCAGTGCTTATCCTACAGTGGCATACACACCAGGACTCCTATAATTTACTAGGAGAGTTTAATCTTTTTTGTTGCAAACCTTCTACTTCTTGTTACTCAAATAATGTGACTTTTATCAAAATGATCTGCTGTTAATCTTTTCTCTAAAAAGGAAGACTACCATTTTGACTTTCAACACCCGTTTTAACATTTATTTTTCTATTATTCACGTATAAGGACGGCCTAGTTAATAATGAGCTCTGGTTGTGCTGTGGTTACAAATCGGGCTGCAAATCTCACGGTCAGCAGTTCAAAACTACCAGCTGTTCTATGGGAAAAAGATGAGGCTTTCTGTTCCCATGAAAATTTATAGCCTCAGAAATTCTGTATAAGGTTTCTATGAGTCAGAACCGACTCCACGGCACATAACAACAACAGTTAATACTGACTAGTAATATGAAGCAAATCTTCATTTCCAGCTCTGACATAATTGAGTAGAGCTGGTTAAAAACAGTAATTTGTTAGCACAATTCATGAGCGCTAATGCCATTTTACTCTAATGCCTTTTAAAAAGTTATAAACTGAAATGGCTATTCTTTCCACTGTTTTCCAGAAGACAAATCTTCAAAATGGATTCAAATTGGATACAGCAAGTATCTAAACTTGTGTTGGTAGAAAGTCCATACAGTGGTATTATGAGTAGGAACCAACTCTATGGATCTTCACAAAAACAGCAGTCTTGTTTTACTATGAAGATGGCAGATAAATGAACTGGTTGTTTGTTGTTGCTTTTAGTTTTGATACACTGGACTGAAATTTGCAGAGAATAATCTTGTTTTTTGAAAGATGGGCATTGCTTTTTCCAAAACCAACTGAAGGGTCCCTACCCAAGAAGCCACACACAGAATGTGTGGTTCTAGCACTCAAACTTCTGCTTAGCAATATATATTCAGTAATGGACTTCAACCCGCTTCTCATAAAACATCACTTACATCCTTATATAATAACCTGCCATTCAGCTAACCCATGTAAAATAAATTGACATTTTCCTAAAGTCAGTTATTAAGTACAATAATTATTCAAGTTGCTCACAACTACGTCAGTTAAAAAAGACACCAGAAATTCAGCAATGGTATTATTCTGGGCAGTTAATTCCCCTCTCTATCCCAGTTAAAAAACTGCGTGAGTTGTTTAAATAATGCAAAATCTTTCCATAATTTCTAAATTCTTCATTCTAAATTTACCATACAAGTAAATTTATTTGAAATTTTTACAAACTAGTTAACAAGAAAGGAGACACAGGACCTTTTTTTAAATTTCTGAGAACTCAACCAACCTTTCCCACAAGTTGCACAGTTTTGTTAATTTTCAGATTTTAGAGGAATCCATTCTAACTGAAAATACATTTCAAAGTTAATATAAGCACTGGGTCAAGTGTTCCTATCCTTCATTAATAAAGAAGACTGATTACATTTGAATTTTAATTGACATTCAACTGTACTTTAAGTTGATGAAAAAGAGTTAGCAATGATGAGGATTTCCTAATAACCATGAATATGACAAATCACCATGTGACTAACGTAAACTTTTGTAATGTATATCTGGCAATATTACTGTATTCTGACTAAGCTAGAGTCCCACATTCTTAACTGGGGTACAAAATTTTAAATTTCTGAGAGTTACAGGAAAGAATGTCGCAACTCCATTTTGAGAAACAGAAAGTTAGAAGGTGAGGTACCTGAGTTCCCAGTATGTTCCCAGCTCCCCGTCACTGAATTGGGTTGACAATACAGGTACTACTGACTGCAAATTTCCAACTGTAAGACCTAGAGTTACCCTAAGGATAGTTAAGTGCAAAGAAACTACTACAACCAGAGCAATACAGCACAGGGACATTTAGAGTGGTACAATTGGGGCGCTTGTAGGATCAGCACTGGACTGCTATCCACAAGGTCAGCAGTTCAAGCCCTTCAGCTGCTCCTTGGAAACCTTATGCATGGTTGCTACGAGTTGGAACCAAATCAGCAACACATGAATAGCAGCAAGTAAGAAGCCAAATTCATACAAGCAATCAGTATAAACCTGTTGATGGTCCTTCTTACCAACTGCTCATTCATACAATTCTAAATTTTAAGTGACTGAGTTTTCGGTCAAAACCTACTGGTTAGATTTCACATTCATACCTATATTGGGTGTCTGCACTGTTCTGCATCTGGCCTTACCCCTATACCCACTTCTCTTCAAACTCAGCAGGCCTCTGGGACTAGTTAAGATTGAGAAAATGTATTTTCAAAGAGAGCAACTATTCCACACTAATGCACAAGCTACGGCAGGTTCCATTCCAGAACACCGCAACAAAGTAAGTATTTCAACAAAGCAAGGAGTCACAGGACGGTTTTGTGTCTCAGTGCACACAAAAGCTGTGTCTACACTGTACGATAGTCTATTTATGTGCAACAGCATTATGGAAAAATTTGAAATACTGTGAAACTCACCAGACTGTGAAAGACACATGAAGCGAGCACAGGCTGTTGGAAAAATGACATCGAAAGACTTGTTCCCCACAAGGCTGCCACCCATCTTCAATTTGTACAAAACTCCTAACTGTGAAGTTCAATAAAACCACGTGCAAGACAACAGAAATACTCTAAATTAAGATTAGAAATGTTAACGTATCACTAGGTTGTAAGCTTTCACACATACATTTTTCTGGAGTAACTTATAAAATGAATTCAAGTGACCTCTATTATAACCTCTTCTCCAATACTCCCACCATTAGTGCTTTAATTTTTAAACAGTATTAACTTTAAACATTTGACCAACTTACCCGGACAAGTGCATCATCTATGATATGATCACGTCTGACTTTGAGTCTCAAATATGGGTTCAACTGCTGTCCTTGAACTAAACTGTAGAGAACAGTGATTCTCCGTTCACTGTACATGCGGATCCTATTGTCATAATATAACCCCAAATTCTTTGTGACAGCATTCAATATAAATGGACATGTCATAAAAGAGAATTTGTTTTCTGTTTCTACTTTGAAAAAAGTGTAATCTTTATCCATTTCTAGAACATCATTCAGTGGTTCGTTAATAAATTCTTCAAAAGGGATAAGTGGTTTCCGACAATCTAGAGTTTTAACACCAAGTTCAGTTTCCAGTGGGTCCACTCGAGGACCTTTCTTGTTTCTTCTTTCATCTCCCAACAACTCCTGGAGGGTCAGTTCACTGGATTCTGGGATGGGCTCTTCATCATCTTCTTCATTATGATTTGTGTCCACTTCCCCTCCCACTACATTTGCATAGTAAACCATCTTCAAACACTTTGAAGCAGCAACAATGGCATCATCATCATTCACTAGATTTCGATTGTTAAATTCATTGCTTATGACTTTGTAAGTAATAAGTTGCTGAAATGTTTCCATCATTCTCCGAATCTGGTCCGCATTGTATTTAGACCACAGTCTGACTAGTTTTCCTTGGGCTGCAAGGGGAAGCTTGCTCATTGCTTTGCAAAACAACGGCAAAGCCATTTCCAAATATTCGGGACTGTGGAGATTCCCATTCTCCATTACAATAATGAACAAATTCAGATAGTTAGGGTCTCTGGAGTACACATTGTGATAGGTCAAGTCACATTCCACATTAGGTGACAAGTATACAAGTGCATTAAGAAAGGCAGTTTCTATTTTTTCATTTGAGAGCAATCTGGTGTAAACCCTTCTAATGGCATCGATATCCACGGACACGTCCTCAGGGCCCAATTTCTGTAAGTTGTTGTCTCCCTGCGAGTTCCCGCCAATCTTTGAGGAGGAGGCTTCTGCATCTTCTTCCATAGCAGCAGCAGAACAGGCAGCTTTCTCCTTTTCATCTTCATCCTTGTCTTCATCTTTTCCTTGAAGTGATTTCAGTTCTTCCTTGGTATGTTTTTTGATTTTCCGAAAGCTCTGAACCAGTGCCTCAGCACTAGAAAAGACTCTTCCAATAACTCGGATCAAAGGGGAATAATCCTCTCTGGCTCTACACAATTCAAGAATTTCATATACCTTTTCTTCTGTTAGGTAAGTCACATCTAGAAAATTGAAGGAAAAAAAGACATTTATTTTCATAATACATGTATTTACTTTGTTGTAGCAAAAAGTAAAACAAGCATTTTATACTTTATAACAAAAACCTGTAACCAAACCTGCTGCCATCGTGCCAACTCAGCATTACAGGACACAGCACAGGACTAATTGCCCCACAGGGGTTCCAAGGCTGTGATCCTTGGTCCTTATGTGGCACTACAGAAAGGGCACTGGACCATATCTTTTTCCTGTAGAATCACTGGTCTATTCAAATTTCGCCCTTAAACACCGTGCCTCCAGGGCGCTTTTGTACTCAATGCTGTTTGTGACTGACGACAGCTCTTAATATATCATGTTCTGATTCATCCCAATACAACTCTTATAACTGTGCAAGCAGAAGCTACTATTCTGAGGAGATTTTTATTGCATTGTTGTTGTTGTTGTTAAGTGCCATCGAGTTGGTTTCGACCCATAGCGACCCTGTACAGGCTCTCATCTTTCTCCCGCGGAGTAGCTGGTAGTTTCGAACCGCTGACCTTAAGGTTCGCAGCCCGATTCATAACCACTACGCTACCAGAGCTCCTTGCATTACTTTTCTGCAAATAAAAAGGTCAGGATACACATAAGGCAGGGTTTCCTATCTTCTTTGGGAAACAGCTCCTTTTCTACTTATGTGTATATCAGAATTAAATTCCTTGTTTGTTTCAGAATCGTCATTCTGTTAGTGACTGAGAACTAATATGTCACTTCTCAGAAGCCCTGAAGTTGAAACTATTATGTGCAGGACAAGAACATGGTTGGAATAAAATTCACCGAGTGGCAGAATATAGGTAATGAGCAAAGAAAAACAGAGTGGGAAGACAGCAAGCTATAAACAGGCAAGTAAAACAGACAACTAAGCAGCTAGTGCAGTGGAATATTAGTGGGCTTCTAGGAATGTTTGCTCTTAAATAAAAGGAGACAACAAAAACTGACCTACATTTAGATAGAAAAAACAATCCAGTTTCATTATTAGACACACAAAATAAGCTAATAACTTTAAATTATCCAAGCAAAAACATGTCTCTACAAAACTTCCTTCATATTAGTATTTAATATTTAAAGAACACTTTTCATAAGGTACCGTACACCCACCTGTTGTGCATAGTGTCGCTGTGATTCACCACTGAGTCAAAGGCACCTAACAACAACAATACACTTCCACTGCCATCAAGTACTTTTTGTAGCGACTCACAGCGACCCTGTATGAGTTTTTGAAGCATAAAACCTATGAGAGAATGGTGAGCTTGAACTGTCAACCCTGCAGTTAGCAAGCAGTCCTGTACTTATCCTACAGTGCCACTGGGACTCCTTACAGAGAAGTAAAACTCCTATCTAATTATGGAATTAATACAAAAGAGCCCCCTAAGTTAAATTATAGCACTCTCTAGTTCTGATCAATGTTGCATTGAAACAATTACTATAACTAAAGCAACTTAACTGCAGAAATATACTTATTTTTATTATTATATAATCCTCTTTTTTAATCAATCATGCTACACAGCAATAACAGAACTCTAATTATTCTGAATAAACTACTCAGATATTTCCTTACACAGGAGAATAAATGTTACTTTTATGGAGTTTAAATTGCCAAAGAGCATACTACTAAGAAAGTCTTTATCCTATAATCAAGAATGATCAATTTGTCATCACTAGATCAAATACCGAAGAAACATAATTTTAGTGTCACATATGATTCTTCATTCACAAATAATTTTACTTTCACTATGTCAAATATACTCTTGTCCATGTACGGCACAGGAGTCCTGGTGTGGTACTGCAAGGTCGGTTTGAACTGCAATATATAAAAAAATAAATGGTTTAAACCCACTAGCCGCTCTTCGGAAACTCTATACAGGGTTGCTATTGAATCAGAATTGGCTCAAAGGTACTTAACAACAACATTGCTCTGTACATGAGAAGCTGTTTAGTAAAACACTAACCTCTGTTTCAATGTAGTCACTTCACAGGAAAGACAATACAAATGTAAAATGCACACAATCATAGGACGAATGGCTTACAACAGCTAGACCATACACATATCAAATTTTATCACACCATAAACCTATTATCTGGTCCCTGGTGTAGCGCTGCAGGATAATGCACTGAACCTCAAAGTCAGTCAGAACTGCAAGGTCAGTGGTTCAAATCCACCAGCTGCTCCTAGAAACCCCTATATAGGACAGCTATGAGTCAGAGCTGATTTGATGGCACTAAACAACAACAATCTTTAAGAACTCATTTTCAAGTTCATAGATAGTAAGAATATATATGCATCTTCAGCCAAACATCAGGACTTCCTTTCTGAAAAGTGTGAAATTGCTAATGGTGGAGCCATTTACCATTATTTTACTGGTAAAAAAAATTTAACAGTTCAAAAAACAATCCAGAATTTGTATCTAATTTCCTAAAATATAGTCACGTGTTGTTGTTGTTAAGTGCCATCGTGTTGGTTCTGACTCATATGGTTTCCAAGGAGCTGATGGTGGGTTTAAAGCCCTAACCTTGTTGTTACCAGTTCAATGTTTATCCTACAGCACAACACCAAGACTCCATGGCACAATAATTAGCTATCGTAAATACTTGTCCTGGAAAGAAATAATCACTTTGCTTGCTAATCATGAAGGTTTCCAAGGCTTTAAGTCTTTAGGGAAGCAGAAAACCTCATGGAGTGGCTCACAGGCTCGAACCACTGACTTTGGGGGTCACAGGCCCATGCTTACCCTACAGTCACTCTTATACTCTATACAATTGTGCACTTAAAACACACACACAAAAAAACCCTATGCAAAAACAGAGTTTGGAGCACACTACTCGTATTTCTGCAAATTCATATCTAGAACTGACCATAGTTAAGACATGGTGTTACACTGTAGGGTTAGCACTTGACTGTGAGCCATAAAGTCAGTGGTTCAAACCCACCAGCTGCTTCTTGGAAACCCTATACAGGGTCGCTATGGGTTGGAACCGACTAGAAGGCACTTAACATGAAGCCTTCCCCTAAGCATTCTACATATTTCAATTTACAGCATGTTCAGATGAAAGTTTTGACGTCTTCAAGGGACTCAACCCATATTCCTCTGAAATGTTCTTTTAAGATTTGGGAACAAAAGGAAGTCTGAAGGGGAAAGATCAGGGATGTAGGGCAGATAGGGTAAGATTTCCCAGTAAAATTTGCGTGGTAAAGGTCTTGCACCCTTATAGAAAGAGCAGGTTCTCTGTGCTGATAGAAAAACTTTTCCTCAGCACAATTTCCATGGCCTTTTGATCGCCAGTGTAGGTTTTAGCTTTCTGAAAACTTTATAATGAGCCCCATGTCCTGTATCCTTTGGAAACAATTTATCTAGAGTACACACCTTTGGAATCCCCAAAAGCTACAATATTCTTTTTAGCTGACTTCTTCACTTTTAATTTAACTGACCCAGCAGATTCATCCCCCGGCCCCCTTTCCAGAAACCACTGTTTTAATTGGAAGACCTTGTCTGCGATCATCCAGTGATTGCACAGACACGTTTAAACACATTTAGTTTAGAACGAGACCACTAGCAGAAATACTTTGTGACTTACACTCATATACAGGGTGGGGACAAATGGAAGATAAGTATTGGGAAAAATATTAAGCATGGATTTCAAAAAACATTTTTGTAACAAAATAAACTCGCACTAACATGTTAGAACACGCCTGAACAGGATCTAATTATCTAAACGGAGGCACTACGAAGTACCAAACAGCAATTTGAAACGAGATCCTAACAGAGCAAAAGACTTCTGATAAAATTAAGCAAGAACAAATATCAAATTTATGGTGAAGTTTTTGGATGAAAAAATGGCAAAATTACTGATTCTTTATAAGAAGTTTATGGGGACAATGCCCCAAAGAAATCTGTAATTTGCAGACAAATAACTTGTTTTAAGAGGGGACAATATGGCCGTGAAGGTCCACAGCAGTCTTGGAGGAAACAATCCCCCCTTTGCGTCCTAGCTGAAGACTACTGACAGCAGCACAGACATCTCAAAAGTAATTACACAAGTTGGCCTCACAATTCTGACTGGAAAATTAAAATTGAGCAAGCTTTCTGCTCGATGGGGGCCAAAACTGCTGCTCCCTGATAAACCGAAGACAAAGCAGAGTATTCAATGGAAATTTTACATAAGTGAGACCAAGATCGTAAAGCAGTTCTTCGAAGAGTTGTAACAGGAAATGAAACATGGCTTTACCAGCATAGGCCTGAACATGAAGCAATAATAACCAAGAAGTGGAAAAGGACCAGTCAAAGCCAAAGGATACCAGTCAAGATCATGGCATCAATTCTGGGGAAAGCTCAAGGAATTTTGCTTGTTGACTTTCTTTATGGCCAAAGAATGGTAACATCTGCCACAATAGTAAGCACAATAGGGAGTGTTGTGAGAAAGTTAGCCAAGGCCTTAGCAGAACACCACCTGGAACAGTCCTCAAAGAGTCCTTTTCTACCAAAATAACACTCTTGCTAATTCCTCTCTAGAAACATGGGCAACTGTGTTAAGTTTTGAAAGGAATTCATTAAGTATCATCCACTTTACTGTCTTCAGTTGGCTCCCTCTGACTATTTCCAAATCTTAAAAAATCTTTACAGGGCATCTATTTTCTTCAGTTACTAATATAAAACAGACTGACCAACATGGTTAAATTCCAGAACGCTCAGCTCTTTGGGGATGGACTAATGTTTGGTATCATCACTTAAAAAAATGGTATTAACTTTGATGGAGCTTTTGCTGGGAAAAAAAAAGTTCTTATTTTTTATTTTTAATTCCACTTTTCAACAAACTTTTTGAAGACCCCTCCTAGTATAGGCAAAACTTTGGAGAAGAAAACAAGGTGGAGGGAGAAGAGTAATGTATTGGAAGACAGCAGCATAAGTGCCTCTCCTGAGTCAAACTCTGCAGCTCACTCACTAATCTCATTACTCTCATGGGAACAGAGAACTAGAAACGCAAACGAGGCAGAGAGAGGACTGATCCTTGGCAGTGTGAGTATACCCGGTCCCAGGAGGAGAGATAAGTGCAACCTGGGAAGAACATGTGAGAAGGAAAAGCAGAATTATTTTCCTGGCCATTAATACAAAATCTATAATAATTTTTGCCATTTGTTTTTTTTAAAAAAGAAAAGGACATCCTCTCCCTCTTTCTGCTTCTTTCACTGTATAATCCCAGAGATCCAGAATTTCAGATATTTAATTCTAGGTATTATATAATATAAAAACTGATTTTGTGGCCTAGTTTCAGAGTTTAACCACCCATTAATAAATGAATAAATGAATCTTGGGAGTCCTGGTGTGGCACTGTGGGTTAATGCAAAGCAGTTTGAACTGCAAGGTTGGTGGTTTAAGCTCACCAACTGCTCCTTGGAAACCTACACAGGGTCGCTATGGGTCACAACCAACTCAACGGCACTTCATAATAACAACGACAATATATTTCTAATTACAGTCTATAAAACCAGTAAAGGGCAGTGAGTCATTAACTCAGTTGTCAGTTGTCCTTTATCACAATAAAAATCTGTTATCTATCCTATATGTCTTAATAATGTCACAAAATTAGACAAAACAAACCAAAAAACACACACTAGAAATCTCAACAGTGAGAACACCTTACCTTTAAAATCATCTCTAGCTCCTTGTCCTTCTTTCTTATTCATTTTTATGTCCGTGCAGGACTTGTCGTGGGCACCTTTAGAGTTGTTCTCAAGGTAAGCTGAACTTGCGCCTTTCTTGGAGGGATGAGGATCACAGAGTTTTGCATTAATCTTATAAAGCTCAAGGGCTTTAATAGCGGCTGCGTTGTTATCCATACGACGAAAAGTTGGACAGGAAGCACAAAACTCATTTGTGCAGACCTCATTTCCGCAGCCCTCAGTTAACTGGTGGTAGTAGCGTTCTATTAGATGCTTTGCAGCTGCTCGCTTCCTGTACCAAACATTCAAACAAACAGTAAGCACAGCGATTGACTACTACAACTCTGGTAAACAGTTCAACAAATCATCAGCAAAGAAAAAGTTAGAATTCACAAGATAAACTTGTATATTAAAATGGGGTACAGAAAAGGAATATCCACTCTTTGCCCAAACTTCTAAGTAATGAAATATATGATAGATACTATGATAAAGCAACAGAGTCATAGTGTGACGCTGTGAGTTAATGCGCTGCACTGCAGAGTCATTTGAAATTGCAAGGTCGGTGGTTCAAGCTCACCAGCCACTTCTCAGAAACTCTATACACAGCCGCCATGGGTCGGACCTGACTTGAGGGCACTAACAATAAAAACAATGTCAATGCTTAACCAAAAACAATTCTTTTTCATATAATATACATATATTAGATTTTAAAAATTAAAAACTTTGTAATCGTTGTTTTGGTAAGTGCCGGTTCCAATTTACAGCAATCCCGTATAGGATGGATTTCCAGCAGTTCTAAACTTAAAGGTGAGTCTGAGCCATCAAACTGGTGGTTCACAGTGAACCGCAGCACCACACCAGGGCTACTACTATTGCTTACTTGTTTATTTAGCACAACAGCTAAAAACATCACATGGTATAGAGGTTTTTCTAAGACAATTTTATTATTTTACCACTTCAAAAATTAGCATTAAGAAAATGAAAATGTACTAAAAGTATCAATCCAGATTTTGTTTCCCTTCATATATTCACCAGTTTAATAGCTTACAAATGCTTGACTACCATCTTGTCTAGAACAAGAATTCATTCTTTTTCCATTACCTACCACATGGGAGATTTAAAATATAAATTTGCAATTAAATATCCAAAATTAGTGTTATACAGTTAAGAAAGAAAAAAAAAAAAAAAGGGTCCAAAACATACAACCTTAATCCCAAAAGTGGTCATTAATCTGCCTCATTAAAATTTATCATTAAACTACAATGATTCAGAATTTACTTTATGGCAGTGGGTAATCTAGAATAATTTTCAGTATAAGAAAAGCAATTGTTTACAGCTTCTTGGGCTTGTATTTTTAATAACAAAATATTAATTCTTAAATCATGCCATGCAATTCTAAGTGTGTTTTGTGGATTTTACTTTTCTCTCCATTTATAGTTCTTTTTCTCTACATACCACCTAATTATGTTTCAATCCCTGTCACAGAAACCTAAAAGTAAAGTTAGACTGTAAGCTTGAAGTAGACAGAATCCTACTCCACTGGAGTTGCTCCCACAGAGCGAATGCACAGTGATACCAGGAAACAACTCTCAAATCAGGCAAGAATTTGTACTACATTACCGGCTTCATCAACTCTTAAAGTACAATGCTTCTAACTAGTTAATGTTAACAGATTACAATAATTGAAGAATACTCTACTGGGTCCAAAGAAACAATTTGTAATTATTTCCTTTGGCTTCAATTTCATAAACATCAGAATTACAAACAAAAAGAAATAAACAATGAGAAAAAAAAAATTCACCAAAGTGATTCTCAAAATGTTCACACAAAAGGAATCTTACTAACACATATGGATAAGTAGCAAATGGAACTCAAGTCTAAGTACCTCATGGTAATCATGAGGAACCCAACAATTAACAAGGAAATAAAAACGGAATATGGAATATATCAATCTAATTATGTTTGAAAGGCAGAACTCTGTCTCCAAACTATCTATATAAGTAACAAAAAAAAGCGACCATCCTAACACATTCACTCCACTTTGGTTCTATAATTTTTCACATTATTTGCTCAGCATACAGGTTGAATAAGTATGGTGAAAGAATACAACCTTGTCGCAAACTATTCAATGTTTCCATGTTCTGTTCACACAACTGCCTCTTGGTCCATGTACAGATTCAGATTCCTCTTGAGCACAATTAAGTTTTCCAGAATGTTGTCCATTTCATGTCATGATACACACAATCAAAAGCCTTTGTGTAGTCAATAAAGCACAGGTAAACATCTTTCTGATATTCTCTGCTTTCAGTCAAGATCCACCAGACATCAGCAATGATATCCCTCATTCCACGGCCTCTTCTGAATCTGGCTTGAACCTCTGGAAGTTCTCAGTCAATGTATGCTTGCAGCCATTTCCTTAGTAAAACTTTACTCGCACGGGATATCAAAGAGATTTTATAGCCGATGATTTCCACATTCCGTTGGGTCACCTCTCTTTGGAATGGGCACAAATATGGATCTCTTCCAATCAGTCAGCCAGATAGTTGTCTTCCAAATTTCTTGGCACAGATGAATGAGTGCCTCCTGTGCCGCCTCACTTACTTGAAAGATTTCAATGTTTATTCCATCAACTCCTGGTGCCTTGTTCTTTGCCAGTTCCTTCATTGCACCTTGGATTTTCTCCTTCAGGATCACTGGCTCTTGATCATATGCTACCTCTTGAAATGGTTGAACATTAACCATTTCCTTTTGGTACAGTGACTCTGTGTATTCCTTTCATCTTCTTTTGACGCTTTCTGCATCATTCAATAATTTGCCCAGAGAATCTTTCAATAATGAAAGCCAAGGCTTGAATTTTTTCTTCAGTCCCCTCAGCTTTAGAAATGCTGAGTGTGTTCTTCCTTTTTGGTTTTCTGATTCCAGATCTTTGCACATTTTATTGTAATATTTGGCTATATCTTCTCAAGCTGACCTTTGAAATTTTCTGTTCAGCTCTTGGACCTTCTCTTTTCTTCCATTTGCTTTACCATCTCTACACTGGAGAGGAAGTGTCAGTGTCTCTTCTGACATCCATTTTGACCCTTTCTTTCTTTCTGCATGAATTAAGAGGTCATCTCAAGAATAGATTTAAAGCCTTAGACACTAATGACCAAAAACCACAAGAGCTGGTTTTTCGATAAGCTTGGGAAACTGCCTAAAAGTAATCTTTAATCTTACGCTAAAGCATTATTAGTGTACACAGGGGCTTCAAAAAGTGACTGGAGAAATTTCAGCATCTTTTGATTTCATTTTTCCATGAACTTTTATTCCCATTTATATTATCAAAGGTTGATTTATATGAGTACTGAAGAAACCTGTTGAAATGTTCCTTTAACTATATGAATTTTAGAAATACTGGATTTAGCTGTAAACAAAGATAGTTACCCAGACTTTTTATTCCCATCTTGAGTACATAAACTTAAAGAATAAAATAAAATAATCTCCTTCTAAAAGCCATTTGAGCTGCAAGGTCGGCAGTTTAAGCTCACCAGTCACTCCTCGGACACCCTATAACAGTGTCGCTATGGGTCAGAACCAACTCGACGGCACTTAACAATAACTTGTAATTATTAGTGTAGTGGCTACGAATCGGGCTGCTAATCTCAGGGTCAGCAGTTCTAAACTTATAGCTGTTCCACAGGAGAAAGATGAGGCTTTCTGTCCTCATAAAGATTTACAGCCTCAGAAACCCTATGCAGGGGTCGCTGTGAGTCGGAACCGACTCTACCGCACATCACCACCACCATATAATTATTGCATTGCTACTGCTCTATGGAGGAAAAAGGAAATGTGCAACAAAATTCTCTATCTGATCTCCTGACATTGAACAGTGCATGTCAAGAACCAGAAGGTCAAGGGTCGCCTCTCAAAGTCAAGGAAGAACAGATGCAATAGGAGAAGACAAGTAAGAAGGGGGGAAATATACAAGACTGAGGCTCTGGGATAAAAATGAGGTTGGTGTCTCCACGGGAAAGGGGAACAATGCTGGAGCAGCTAAAATGCTCAGGGGTGTAAGGGATTCACCATGTAAACTAGGGACAAGGAACCTGGTTTCTGCCATAATCTGTAACATAAATAGCAGGCCACACAAAATTATCAACTTAAAAATTAGCTTCCTATATTTGGTCAAACATTTCATTAATTCATCCCTAATGTGATAGCAGGGCCAGACCAAATGATTTCAGAGGCTTTCTACAGGACCAGACATCCTTAATGCCTTCAATGTGCTCAAATGGTAAAGAAAAGGTTGGAGCTTCAAGTTGACTCAGATGTTTTGAGAGAACCGCATGGCAATCTACTTCTGGAAAAGCAGCCACTGGAAACCTGATGGCATCCAGGTCTCTGGCACACATGGAATCAACTCAACAGCAGTAACTGGTTACTGAATGGGACTTGGCAATGCCCAAACTGTTGTAACCAACCAACCACTTATTTTACTTGACCTTCCTAAGAAATGAATTCCTTTAAAAAATTATTTACTTTGGGTTTTCAGGATATTTCCTGGTTTCCTTCCACATCTCTGGATGTTCTCCAGAAACCTTCCTTCCTAATCTAGAAAGGGTCACATTCCCCAGGTATCAGTCATTAAACCCGTTCCCTTTTAAATTCATCGTTAAACAGTTTTACGTTTTCCCCCAAGCTTTAGCAATAACCTAGTAACTTCCAAATTTCTCTTTCAGTTTAAATAAAAAAACTGCCTCAGAGACATTACTATGCCAAGTCCTTGTTGTCATTCTGGTTGTTGTGTTGTTGAGTACCGTCAACCTGATTCTGACTTATAATGACCCGTATAGGATTTCCAGGAAGTCCAAACATAGTGCTACATGATAAACACTGAACTGACAGTCTCACGTCCAAGGGTCAAACCCACCAGCCACTCCTTGGAAACACTATAGAAGGGATCTATGCGTTGCAACCAAATGGATGGCACCCAACAACAACATACGATTTCTGAGGAGCAACAGGTGAGTTTGAACCAGGTCCTTAAGTTACATAAAAGGGGCTCTACTGTTTCAGGGAGATAGGCAGATGAGTTCACTATCTTAAGGATGATTATATGGGTATGGAGACACAACTTAGCCTTGTTAAATAATGACTTGCTTTATTCATTGTCAAAGTTAAACACCTGAAAACAGCTTAAGGATTAGGGAAATGGTTGGGAGTATAGTTAGCAAATATAAGAATCAGAAATTTTACTGAGAAATTGTTTTGAATTCATTTAAGAAAATTAAAGAGACTAAATTAATATGAATT